GCTGCTGCTGCTGCTGGCCCTGCTGGCCGCGGGCTGGCTGCGCCGGCGCAGCGCGCGCCGCGACAAGCGCGTGCTGGGCGCGCTGGCGGCCGGCCGCCGCCTCACCGAGGAGCTGCTGTACGACGCGTCGCGCACCTCCACGGCCTCCTGACACCGCGAGCGCTCCGTCGAGTACATCCACGTGGACCGCGAGACCACCGTGTGACGGAGCGCCGCCCCCCGCCGCTGTACATACCGCCGCGAGGCGCCTCTGTACATATTAATCCGTACTGATGTAGCCGCGCACGTCCGACCGTAGCGTATCGTATCCCGCACGGTAGTGTATACTAGTGAGTGGGCCGAGCGATCGGCCCTAGTGTAAATAAGTCGTCGACGAGTAGTGGGACCGCGTGATCCTCGAGAGTCGTGAGCGTTGTGAATCGTGAGTGAAATCTCCGAGTGACCGACTCCAAGTGATATTAAATGGTGTTATATTCGTTATGATTCCTTTGTCTATTCTCGTTATTCATTCTAGATTGCGTTGGTCTTCGGACGAGTGATTTGTTGTGACTTCAAGTGCCGTTAATTTGCCCGGCGGCGCGACGCGTTCGACCGCCGACCGACGTTCGTTCCGATCTAAATTGTCCCTACGCTATTGATGATTGTTTCGGAGAACTATCCCGTCCCTCGTTTTCACCTAAGTTACTAAATAAAAGATAATTAAAAATAATAGTTCAAATTTACGAACCAAAAATGTGTTGTTTTATTTAATCTTATAGAGGCGTCTCCGACGTGTTAAGCGAAAGTGCGACTGTCGACGACATTTCGGAAGCACATTATCCTGACGCTTCCGATCGCTACAGTGCATGTATTTATGTATTCTATCTGTCTAAATGGGGTATCCCTTAAACTTTTGATTGAACGCTTATATATATATGATACGAGCCCTGTACCCAACCTACGGTGGGGCCGGGCTCGGCCTGCGGCGCGTGGTCGCTTTCAGATTACGGGTGTGCTTATGCTCTTCGGTAGCACAGTGATTAGTACTATGAGTGCTTGATGAGGAGGTTCCATATTCTTATTGGAGCCAATTTATGAAAAAAATATTTTTAAGTTGGTCCTGGTCAGGGTATTCTGGGTATTGCCTTCAGAATTATCGTGACTCTGGTACTCACAGTACAGGAAATTACCTAGTTTGAGACCAGAAATTTGGAGTGATTGTCTGGCATTTTTTTTCCTAAATACTTCTCTTTTTGGCAAAACTTCCAAGAAAAAATAATCTAACAGAGATAATCGAGATACAACAACGTTATAAGTTGTATAAGTAAATAATATATTATTTCCACTACATCGGGAAGTATGCCTTAGATTTTGAACAATTGTGAAATCTTGTATTCATAATTTAGTCTCCGTATACTATCTACGTACGGTAGCGTACGGACGCTTCGGGCTTCGCCCTCCGCTAGACCTCGGCCTATGGCCACGGCACTTATGACTTTAAAAGAATTAACAAATGGCAGGCATATTGAAAAATGGCGTTAAACTAACGTTGATTACAAATTATAATCAAGCACTCCTAGAGACCCCCACATGACAACTTACAAAGGGATCAGAACAATTTTTTTCTACTGCCAACAAACGCTTGTATGGCGGCATATTTGAAAATGGCGAAAAACCAATTTCGAGCAAATTATTATCTGGCACTTCTAGAGGCTTTCATATGCCAATTTTCAGCTGAAATAGAGCGAATCTCTTTCGGCAGCTATTACCCTCTATGACATTCCTTCCGGCACCTCCTACCTATCTTTAATAGTTTCCGTGATAGAAGGCTTCGAAATTTGTATGGCGGCCATCTTGTTTATTTGAATTTCGAACATTTTACTTTCTGCGGAAATTTACCAAGGTGTATCTCACAAAAGTGCACAAAAATCCCCCCATATATTATAGTTTTTGCCTGCCGTTGATCACTCGTTTACATTTTCCACATTCAGGTATTCTCATATTTGATTCTTTGCCTTGGAACCTATCCGCGTACAACGGTATAAATATATTTTTCCACCATACCGGGACGTATGCGTTCTATTTTTCTAAGTGAGTCAGGATTTGTAGCTTTATATATATATATAACTAGATAGCGCGCGTTGCGAGGGCTATCTTTATATCTTGAATCAGATTGGGAGATGAACTTTATAATATATTTCAGTACAGAATTGTCTTTAGTTGAGTTTGAGTGGGAGGGATCTGCGGAGATTCAGAAAAGTCAATTGTTTATGGCGGCCATCTTGAATTTGCCAGATTGGAAAATTGTTGATCCCGGTAGAACCTGACCAGGGTCTTTGACAAATTTTGCTTGAAAGTCATACACCCATCTCTGACGCTTTCACCGGGTCGTTTATCACGGAGACCCGGTCGACTTGGATGTTGCATGTTGCGCTGGGCCGTTAAAGCGGCCCGCGAGGGCTATGTATGAGGCTTGTGACTTTAAATGTAGGAAAGACTTCATCGGTCGGTAGGTAATTACTCTGGTTTCATTGGTGATTTTTTTAGTTAGGTTTATTTAGGTGGGAGGGAGCCAGGTAGTTAGCATAATCGTGACAAGTCATCCTATACAATTCCTTATACAATTCATCCTTATATAACTCAGAAGAAACTACTCATATATCGATCAATAATTGCGAAGATTCAGTAAAGTCAATTTTATATAGCGGTCATCTTGGATTCGCCATATTGGAAAATTTTTAGTTCCGGTAGAACCTGATCAAGGTCCTTGTCAATTTTTGTTTGAAAGCCATACACCTATCTCTAACGCTTTTAACGGGCAGCTAATGTCCTACCTGATGCAGACCACTTCTTGAAGGTTTTGGAATTTTCTGGTATTTAAAATTCTCAGTTCAACAAAATCCTTGTGCATTTATTAAACACACCTCGATTCGTTCTAGGAGAACAAGGATGTTGGACGGTGGAAAATGTATGGCGGCCATGTAAGAAAATGGCGGAATCAAAAAACTACAAACACAATTTAGCATTATAGGGCCTTATACGCGGCCAAGTGCCATATTTCAGCACGTTCGGTGAATTGTTTTCAGTCCGTCATCTTGAATCGGCCATTTTGCTATCGCCTTTTACTGCGATAGGAGTGATCTCGGAAATATAATTTACCTATTTCTAATAGTTACGGAGATATAGTTCCTCGAAATTTATATGGCGGCCATTTTGTTTTTCGAATTTCGAATATTTTTCACTACTGGTAAAAACTGCCCAGGGCGTGGATCAACATTTGTTTGGAGACCTTGGAGCCAAGACGTATACTGTGGCCGGGCAGCTGGGGTCCTACTGATGCGAAGCACTTTTCGAAGGTTTTGATACTTTTTGATAATCACCAAATTCTTCCAACCATCATTTGCGTACATCACTCTTACACACCCGCTCTTCTTCTGGGAGAAACATGCTGGTCAAAAAAACTAAAAATTCACTTGTGCCATACAAGTGGCCATCTTGGAAAATGGCGGAATCCAAATTTCGTTCACATACTGTAAGTCTCCATACATGATTTGATGTCAAATTTCAGTCGGATCAGAGCACATTTATTTCGGGCCGCCGTTTTGAGTCCGCCATCTTGAAAATTTTTTTTACCAGCTATTGGCTATGACATTTGCTTGAGCGCCTCTCATCTATCTCCAACACTCGCCGAGATATAAACCTCAAAACATAGTGGACTGTTGAAATTGTATGGCGGCCATATTGGAAAGTGGCCGAATCGGAATTTGACCACATATTCGTATTACCATCACCCGGATATGGAAAAATATTAAATTTCAGCCAGATCTGTGCACCTTTTGGTCGGGCCGCCATCTTGAATCGGCCATTTTGAAAAAATAATTTCAACAGCCAGTTAGATCTTGTTGTCCTCTACAATATTAGTTTGAGCACGATCTACTTATCTCCAGTAGTTTCCGAAGTACAGGCCCCCGAAATTTGTATGGCGGCCATTTTGTTTTTCGAATTTTGAATTTTTTTCACTCCTTATAGAAACTACCCGGGGTGTGGATAAATCTTGGAAAATGGTGGGATCGAAATTTAGATCACAGATTTGCATTGATCACAAACTCCCATTCACGGCAGCATGCCAAATTTCAGCCGGATCTGATCACTTTTATTTTGGGCCCCAATTTTGAATTGGCCATCTTGAAAAAATTTTTCCAGCGGCAGTTGACCCCAACCGCTCTCTATGACATTTGGTCGAGGACCTCCCGCCTATCTTCAATATTCGCCGAGCTATAGGGCTCTGAAAGTATAGCGGCCATCTTGTTTATTCGAATTTTGAATTTTTTCAATTCCAGTAGAAACTGCCCAAGGTGGCGGCCATTTTTAGTTTGACGACCCTGCCGGTAGGTGTTATTCTTTGGCCGCACTGCCGGGGTCCCACTTGATGCAGTCCAATTTTCGAAGATTTCGGATTTTTCTGGTACTCACCGGAGCCATCCGATCACGACTCCCGTACATCATTTTTACCGCGATTCCTTCTGGGAGAACAATTATCTAAATCACTGGTTCAGTCAGTCAGTCAGTTAGTGGTAATCGAGCTATATATAGTATAAATAGATGGCGCGCGTTGCGCCGGAGGGTTTTCTTTATGTCTGGTGACAAATTGGAAGTTGAACTTCATATTTCAGTAGAGAATTCTCTTCGTTTGACTTTGAATGGCGGCCCATTCGCACTCAAAGTTTTTGTTTTTCGAATTTTGGATTTTTTTACTCCGTGTAGAAACTGCCCAGGGTGTGAAGCAATATTTGTTTGGAGACCTTAGTGCTAAGGCGTATACTTCGCCCGTGCATCTGAGGTCCTACCCGATGCGGAGTACTTTCCGAAGGTTTTGGTACTTTCTGATACTCACCAAATCCACCCAAACATTATTCGCATACATCATTCTTATACACCCGCTCTTCTTCTGGGAGAAAAATGCTGGTGAAAAAGCCGAAAATTCACTTGTCCGGCGGCCATCTTGGAAAATTGCGGAATCCAAATTTCGTTAACAGATGCATGCTATGAGCCTCCATGCATGATCGGATGTCAATGTACAATTCCAGTAGAAACTGCCCAAGGTGGCGGCCATTTTTAGTTTGACGACCTTGCCGGTAGGTGTTATACTTTGGCCGCGCAGCGAGGTGCCACCTGATGCAGTCCACTTTTCGAAGGTTTCGGATTTTTCTGATACTCACCGGAGCCATTCGACCACGATTCCCGTACATCATTTTTACCCACCGCGACTGCTTCTGGGAGAACAATTATCTAAATGACTACATCAGTCAGTCAGTCAGTCAGTCAGTGGTAATCCAGCTATATCGAGTACGAGCCCTGTACGTTTACGTACATACGTTTTCAGTTTACGGGGTGTGCTCATGCTCTTCGGTGGCACAGCAGTTAGTACTAGGGGCGCTTGATGAGGAGGTCGATTCCCGATTTAAGCTAATTTAAGAAACGAACATTTCTAAGTTAGTTTTGGTCTGAGTATTCTGGGTTATCGTTAATTTGGTATTCATAGTTTGGCATTCTTTCCCCCTAAATACTTATATGCTTTGGCATAGCTTACAAGAAAATGATATCTAACATGGAGACGGTTGAGATACAACAACGCTATAATAAGTATCTCATTTCCACTACATCGGGAAGCATGCTTTACATTTTTACAATTGTGAGATCTTGTACTCGTAATCTATTACGTCTCCGTATATTAT